GGTCTCGCGTGCGATGAAATTTTCATCGTGGCTGCCTCCCGTACGGGATACTCTCGGTGTCGGTATGCGAAACCGTACCGATACGCAGTCCCGCGAGCAATAAAAGCTCTGAAAAGCGAGAAAAAGTAGTCGGGCCTTGCCAGTCGAAATCGATCGGAACCTTGTCTGTCGTTGCTTCGCTTAACACCGATATCCGCAGATTTTTACGAAAACGACAGGAGGGAGGCGTTAATACGGAGATTCCGTACAGTTTGCAAAGATTTTCTGTACTTCCGTTGAAATGCTCGTGTCCCGTCCCGAATAGGGGTCACGCGATTTACATGTGTTCGCTTCCTACGTCGATGAGAATTTCTCCGGTTCTTTTCTAGGTGGTCTTCCGCATCAAACCCATGAAATAAATTACGACAACGAGCCAGAGATGTATGTATATCGTTCGATGGTTAACCGATCCTCCTCTTTCATTTCCGCCGAGATTTATTTCAGCAGATATCGTAATCTTTGATCGAATGCGTCTCCTACCGATATACCTATGCTGGGTCACGGCTCTGGTTAAGGATTGTCCAATCCATACTTATTGTTAGTTACCCTACTCCGAGAAGGTTTCAATCGTCCGATGCAAAAAAAAAACACGCGAACGGCTGCGTGAACGGCATGAGAATGCGTTTTCTGTCCACTCAACTTCCCTTTGGGTTTATGAATGCTGCAAATGGGGTGGAGAAGAGCACCGGTTCCCTGCCAGATACATACCAGACGAAGACGGCACTCTTCCTGAATGCCGATCCTCGACACACAGATGCAATTTCGCGCGCGTCAACAGTCGAGAGAATTGGATAGCGGAGTAGAGTATTGCGGAATGGAGGAAAAAAGGTGGCGACCCAGTTCGAACAGTTTCTATATGTGTTATCCGTGAACGTCGCGCGTCGTTTAGGCTGATTCGCATGAAAGAGGAGCTGATTTTAGTAAAAGCTTGCCAAGTCGATGTCACAACTTCCGTTTATCGACATTCCCTCGTCGCGAAAATTGCACACGTACACGCGATCAACCAACACCGAAACGGAGTTCTCCGTTCTCCGCTGCAATTTAAATCAACGATCTCTATTGTCGATTGACAACGAGGTGTCGATTGAAGACATCGAACGTTGTACAGGTAAATTGACGTAGCGCGTTCTTCTTCAAATTCCCGACTTGCGCGTGTGTTTAATCGAAGCTGGTTGCAACCACGATTAAAGTGGTGGCGAGCGTGACACCGTAACACGCGCCAATGAAATTTACGCGATACCGCCGGTATCGCTTCTCGCGGTGTATACGGACCTTTTGTTAATGGGAAGCATTACTCTGAACTCATTCCCGCTCGTGCAAAATGTATCTGCATTCTCCATATATGGTACCTATAACGACCAACTGATTCGGTTCGAACGGAAGAACGCAGATATCTCTTAACGTAGTATTTTGCGAGTAACACTTGGCTCGAAGGATGAAAGAAAGAAAGAACTTACCGTGATCGTACCGAATCTTCTGCCTCTATGTGTTAACGCTCGGTTCGGTTGGTAAACGATAGCTGTAGATCTATCGAGGAATCCTAAAGCAAAAATAGCGACGCCTTTTCGTTCACAGGCATAGTTTCCTCTTCTACTCTCTCTTTCGCTTCGTCTTGACCTCGAACAAATGCGAACCGGCAACGAAGACGACGTGGACGTGGACGTGGACGTGGACGCGGACGTGGACGTGAACGCGGACGTGAACGTGGACGTGAACGTGGACGTGGACGTAGACGAGAACGAGGACCAGGACGAGGAACCAGGACGAAGACGACGAGAGATAACGTTCCAAGGATCCTCCTGTTCAGGTGGTTCAGGAGGAACAGGTGGTAAAGGTAGAGAAGGTGTCCGTTGTTCTAAACGAACCGTGGAAACGATCGATCGATCCTCGCGAACCTACACCGGCTCGATCGCGAGAAAATGTCACGCAGAAGAAGCAGGCTCTGTCTGTTTGGCGAAAGCTCCGGTTCGTTCGGAACGCAGTGGAGAACTGAGCGAAGTGCCGGCCGGTCGAGCAGCCAGCCGGGCTTTTCCAACCGGCTTAACCAATCGCAACTTCTCTCTTATCCCACGTGCCTCTTCCTCTCTCTCCCTCTCACTCTCTCTTTCTCCCTTCTATCACCCTCTCGCCTCTGATCTTGCACTCCTCCCGCGGAGTTATCGCTGCCAGATTCGCGAGCACATCCCCCGTGGGGCTCTGCATCCCCTGGCGCGGCTATCCCCCACCCTCCCGAACACTCGCCAATTTTACGCCCGACCTACCTGCCCGAACTTTCCAACCTATAGTTTTACCTACCTCCCGATATCTCCCATTCTTTCTACTTATTCCCACTTTTTACACTTATTCGCCGTTCGAATAAACCGAGAAAGATAAAGAAACGAATGCAGACACTTTCGAAAGCCGAGCGTTTAGCACGTATTTATTCTCGCTAGAATTCTTCGAAGACGTGCCACATTGACAAATACGCGCGTTCCAGACGACGCAACGTAGCCTCGTTCGCCGTTAATGGACAAGATACACATGTTTTCCAATCGAAAACTTCACCGGACTTCTCTAGTCCGAAGCAATAGAAACGGTCTATCTACTTAAAAACTCGAGAACTGGATCGCACATTTTCTCGCATTACATAACATGCACCACTGTATATAACGCAATCTGTTCACTTCCGAGATCAACTAATCGCGTGGCTTCTTCTAGCGCCGTTTGAAAAATAGAACCCGCGCGCGAGAGAGAGAGAAAAAAGAAAAAAGAAAAAAGAAAAAAGAAAAAAGAAAAAAGAAAAAAGAAAAAAGAAAAAAGAAAAAAGAAAAAAGAAAAAAGAAAAAAGAAAAAAGAAAAAAGAAAAAAGAAAAAAGAAAAAAGAAAAAAGAAAAAAGAAACGACGCTTAGGTCGCGTCCACTTGGTTCCTGCGCCAAGTTGATATCGAACAAAACGTGATCGAGGTCTTACTTTCGAAGTTGCCTGCAGAGCATACACATGTCTTCCAGTCGCTTTCCTAACGACGAGACATGCTTTTACCAACGATGATACTTTTATGCGCGCGTGACGTGCCGTTTTCATTCACGCATTACCGAACTTCTTCCTGATCGTCGGCTACGTTGTATATATACATATACATACAAAGATCGCGTACTCCAACTCGCGACAACGGATAAATTATTACTGAAATCGGGAAAATCCATTTCACCGGTAGAAAGAGAGAGAGAGAGTTGTGACAATTTATCCCCCTCCGAGAATGGAGTTCGATTTCATTTCAACGTTCCACGTTACGAAATCTGGAACGAAAGTTAAATTTTTTGGAACGTATCGTTCGAAAAATTCGTTACTGCAATTAACATACCGAATATTTCGTCAACTTTCCCTTTGATATTAGATGCGCTGATATTAGATCGTCTGACCAAATGCACGCTAACGCGCAAACGTCTACCGCTATCGGCTCCGGTCCGACCAAGTAATATTATTACTTTCGCGTTCACGATTTTCGTTCCTGACCTCGGTTTCTCGTTTTGTGCAGGAGCAACCAAAACCGCTAACCAAGTCGCAACACGTTCGAGGACCGGAAGTATAAAGCGCACCGAGGCTTCCACTTCGTTTTACTTTCACAGCCACGTATTGCTTCGCTTTTACACAACTAATTCTACAATTATACTAATTCTACTTTTCACCACCCGATCGTTCCTTTCTACTTTACATTTACTTTGTTACTCGTCGTTTACTCTCGTGCACCTTCGCTGTGTGCTTGCACGAATGGATATTTACACGCGTATTGTGACGCAACTGTTGAAAAGGAGCGATTTAGTTCTCATAGCGAGATAATAGCAGAGTCGCGCCGAACATCGCCGCTAAATCGTTCTCGAAACGAAGACAGGGTACATGAACGGCGTAATGAGAGAAACCGGTTTTCAGTTTTGCACGTGGTAACTTCAAGAGTCGACTCAATTATCTTATAAGAAGTCTAAAACATAATATTTAAAACATAAATATTTTCCATTGAACAAGGCGAAGAAGGAAAAGGAGAAACGAAATTGTAAGAAAAATTGATCGCTTCTTCTTTTTCTTCATACTCTTCTTTGAGAGAACGCACCGATAAGTTTTCGAGTCCCCTTTCGACCACACCTTCGTTAGATTCTTTTAATACATACTCGATGCACTTTCTCCGTTCATTTGTTTTCCAAAAACGTACGTCCGCTCTTATCGACATACTTTTAACGAATACTCAATTTGCGGAACGATAAATACCGCAAAATGTTTCGGCGTATCTAACAAAGTTACTGAAACGTGAAAGAGCGTGAAAGAAGGAGAAAATAAAGATTAGATAACTCGTATATTTTTATATATATATATGTATATGCATGATTTATTTATATCGTATACCCAAATAATATTATTAAGTGAATTATTTAAAAGAATATTTATGGAAATGCATCTGTGCATCCTCTGTGTGTATCGTCGAAAATAAGTTTCATTTGTTATGCTTACGCATAGAGTAAAATTGCACCATAGTAGTATGTTATGCAAATATTTTGGTTCAGTCCTTTCCACCTATACCCACAATATTATTCCTTGTATAATATTTCTGAAGCACCGCTTAGTTTCAGGAAATAATACTGGCTAGAATTGTCTACGCGTTAACGCATGATTCATCTTCGATATTCCTTTACGTCCAAGTTAAACATTTTTTGCAAAACAAAAAGTACTTACGGGACTTATTTCAAATAAATAGCACTACGTGGACAATAATTGTCGATTATGATCGGATATAAAATATTACTACTTATTATAGTACATTCGTATACTGGTATAAAACCAGTCAAGTATAATGTTTTTCAATAAATACCAAGTATTTATAACAAAAGTCGTTTAAATAAAAGTAGATATTAAACTGTAAAAAGGAACAAAGTATGGCTAAAATTAATTTCAAGAATTTTACAATTTCATACTAAATGCGAAAGTTTGCGGTGTTTTAGAAACAAACTCTATTTTATAACAAATAGATTAAATGTTTCCGTTAAACTCTGTTCCATTGTCAACAGTCCGGTACCTAGGTCAATTTTTTACCGAGGCAACTACGTTATTATAAACTAGATGCCTCTACGTTAGGAATGTTGAAAAGTCCATCGTCTTTCCAGTAATAACGAGGAGGACCGAGGGTAAAGCAGTATTTCATGGATAATGGTTCGCCGTTTTCAACGTAGTACATCAAATAAAAATTACACATTTCGTCCGAATTAGTAGCGCCAATTTGTGTCAAACTATCGCGTCTACTAGACATAGTACAACGAGCTGCTATTCGGTCACCTTGACTAGCTGAAACCTTATTATGTATAGGATAAAACATTTGAGGGGTCAAAGGATCTCTTTTCCCTAATTCTATCCATGTATAATCTGGTTTTACCAAATATCCAGAAACTACTTTTCCAAGTGAATGAGTATGAGTTCTATAGGCGATAGGATGAATAGTTTTGTTCTCTTTTATCGTACAAGCTGTTTCCATATATGTTACACTCCTAGGAGGTATGACACCTGAAGTTCCCAGTAGAAGAACACCGGCTAATTTACCCAGTGGACGTAAAGTGTAATGAAGGAATACACCAGAATTGTCTGAGCTACCATCTTTAAATTGTTCAACGTGGCTATAATGAACCTGTAGAACTAAATACTTTATCGGAGAATCCCTGCCAACCTTGAAACCTACTCCTTCCGGCAAAATTAACGTCGGTGCATCTCTAGCCCAAGCGTACAATATCTGCGTGAAATATCAACAAAATGAACCATTTGTAAATTCTCTCCAACATTTTTCATTTACATTTTTTTTTTTATATTATATACCTGGGATTCTTCTGCACAAGGCACCATTGTTTCCTCGATATCGTTCATACCACGCCCCATTTCTCCACAATTCCATACAGGTTTTGAGCTACCAGGTTTACCACAACCGTACAAAAGTATATGGTGTGTACTTGTCATTGTTGCATTCGGCTCGAAACCTATCAAATAGTAATTTTCAGAAGGGTCTACTTTCACTGGAGTACACAGATACAATTCCTCCTAAAAATTCAAAAAATATATCGCTGCAATTTTCTTATTTATTTCATTAACATCGATTCGAATAACAATTGAGAATTAAACGATAAAAATTACGATCAGGCGTTTTGAAAGAAAAACTTCGTTACAATATTGTTAAGCACGTTAGAAAATATTCCATATGTGTTTTTACGTTAGCGTTTGAAAAAATTATCTCACGTGTACAAATCATCTTAGAAATTTTAAAAACATGCATTTACCCGATTCGGTTTAACATTTGGCATAAGTAACGCATATTTATTCACACTGTTACACTCGATCAATTTGCACAAAAATGTAAATAAAACATAAGTGGTGAAAGCATGATTTCCTTTCATTCTGGCCGTAGTATTCAAAAGTATTTCATCAATTACTCGAGAGATTCACATAAACCCTGTCAACTGACACAAATCGATACTATACAGTTTACGCGACCAGATAACCTCTGACGTATGAAGAATAAGCATTTACAAACGCCATCTATCAGGAGTATACACATCAATTTATTGCATACAAAATGTCTCGATACAAGTAAACATTCGAAAAGAATAATAATACAAGTGGTAATCGTTACAATTGGACATGTACATTTATCATTTAGTATTTACGATTTATTATACAGATTCGTTGATTGGTAGAGTCACGTGAGTGTCTTTTTCATTCGTTTCATTTTTAAATTTCATTCGTCAACCACTGTCTGACATTCGAAACCGAATTTCTAAGTGGAAATATGTGAAGACGCAAATATCTGGTAGGCGTTCGTATTCACAACCGAAAAGTTTCATATCGGACGTTCAAAAATTATATGTACAGATGTATAATAGTTAATATCTGATTTTGAAAAAGCAATAAATCGACCGCTTTTTATCTAGTTGACTGTGTTGTAAGCGAAACATCGCTCGATACGATTCGAATCATTTTTATCTTTTATTAATGTATATGTCACGGATTTGATCAGTAAACCATTCTATGCCTGACTGTAACCCTTCTCCGGTGATCGCATTTGTTGCTCGTATGTGCCACGGTTTATTTTGTACACGGTCAAGACCAAGTCCAGCAACAAGTTTCACAGTAGTTAGAGAATCCGGCAAGTCCATTTTGTTTGCCAAAAAGAGAATCGGTATTTTACGACCTATAATGTTTGCCATAAAATATGTCGTTATAAAGAAAATTTATTCCCTGTAACGGGAACAAGCAGGAAAATGGTACCTGCTACGTCCGGATGCTGAAGAAGCATGTCCAATTCTTCTTTAACAACGACCAATCGTAGCTTGTCGCTGCTGTCGATTATAAAAATAATACCATGACAATCTTTGTAATAATGCTCCCATAAAGATCTGTGACGATCATGACCTGACATATCGAATGCCGTGAAACTAACATTTTTAACTGAAAAAAAAAAAAAAAAAAAAAAAAAAACGATATATCCTTGTATTGTTAATCTTATTTTAAATAATCTAGAATTGTTAGGAAACGTAAAGCAGAATGACCAGATGAAATAAATAGACAAGAAATACGTAAATAGATATAAACTTTTAAATAAACATATTCAATTATTTATATTTCATATTTTTACAACTTTACGGAGCGCCACCTGTTCCTCTATCACCTCTCTGTGTTCAAAATGATTGAGAATCACTGAACGCAAAGAAGATATATAGACATATATTGGCGCGATATCGTTTAAAAATAACATTAAACCACTTTCATGCAAATCATTAAACTATGGAGATGTATGAAGTTATAAAAAATAATCTTGATAATGTAAAAGATTCAGAGAAGAGCGAAGGTGAGCTGGAATTTTAGCTGTTGATTTTAAAAATCTAACCCTATAATATCGGCAATGAAGATAAAATATATTAGAGTATTGTTCAATTTTAGAATCGATAGATGAACAAAAAAGCAGATTGAAAAAGCAGATAGACCAACTGAAGTCTATAATTTTGGAAATTGAGTGGAATTTAAACATTTTAAAATTTGGCAAGATTGAATGCACTTTTCATCCTGACACTACTGATGGTCTAACTATTGATAACATTCCAGATGTCGATATACAACTAGGCTCTCAATTATATAGATATGCTGGCCTCTATTGTGTCAAATTTTCAAAAGAAAAATATGTATTTCATTTCTCATGTTCAAATAAATATGCGAAGGAAGATATATTTGCTGTAGAAATTTTGAATAATCAAGATCAGGGAACTTTAGGGAAATGGTTAATGCCTATGGCTATTGATTTAGAGTACTTAGTGTCTGAGGTCCCTATTGATAACTTAAAAAATGTACCTCATTTTTTGAGGACTTGTAAACATTATATAGATTGTTATTATATTCGACATGAACAATATACTACACTGATGGTACATATTTCTTGTTTCATTTCTCATTTAACATCTGATAAAATAGGATGTATAAATGTACATATATATACTTTTATTTTTAGGATAATATTTCTGACATAACAAATTGCATTGTACAAACAAATTTAGGACATACTCAAATTAATTTAGAATTGATGCGGGTACATGATGAAAACACTGATTGTTATATGAACACAATTATATATCTCCTGTATAATACTAATGAAGCTAGACCACACCAAATTACAGTAGATTTAGTAAATGATGATGATGAACCAAACAACAGTATTAAAACACAACTACAAAAATCTTTAGTATGCTTTAAAATGTTTGATTTACATATAGCATTTGAGAAAATGTTGAAAAAGAAACCATATACTTGGTCAAGAGAAAGTGGTGAAGATAATCCATTAGGAATTGGTGTATGTGGAACTCTTAATTTCCTTAAAGCAATATTCATTTAGATTGTATTCAAATAATTATGCTTGTTCTCAGACTCCAAGTGGTTCAGATGAAGAGGGATTTTTGGAAAAGTTTTCATTTCAAATCGAGAAATCTTTCAGTCCCGGAGCAACGAAACGAAGAAAGAGAAAGAGGCACAAAGAAACAACAAGAGTAGGAAAGCATTCTAATCTTTCAAGTCAGTCTAACAGTAATGAAAAATCTATAACTTTTCAAAATAAAAACGAAAAGTTTAAGAACCTTTATGAGCAGTCTACAAGTCAACAGAATGTTGATGTTAAGAGAAGTGAATTAAAACAAACAAAACTGAGATTTGAGTTAACTGATTCAAAAGTACAGAGTAGCAGCAATACTGTGGTAACACCATTGAAAAATAAAGAAATAATTGAACAGCTACATAAACCATGTACAAGTACCCCATTACATCATGATGAACCATGTTCTTCTAATCTTAGGCCCAGCAATATTGATATTAGTGATATTACTGTTAGTGGAAGTAATTTAGATAACACAAAAATTAAGAAACACATTGATGCTGCAACAAAAAATAGTCTGGAAGTGGAAAACCAATACAGGAATGGTACACCTGTGAAAAAGATAATCAAGTCTGTTCAACCAGAATTACACAATCAAAAGCAAAAGAAAAAAGTCAAGAAAAGAAGAAAGATGTAAAGTACTTTTTAATAATATAAATAATAAAAATATTTTGTATCGTTTATATGTAATATTCGTTTCTTTTTGAAAAATAAATGTTTCTATCTTCGTGTATTTGTTTCGTTTTATTGTATAACAACAATAGGTGCTTAAACGGATCAGCTAGTGCAAATAACAACGTAGAATAGTGGTTTTAAGCACGTCAATTCAACATCGAACGTCGTTCACTCGTCATTGTTTAACTTACATGAAAATTTTTCAACATTATACCCGACAGTGGGCACTATGTCTATGCAACGGTCATCCTCGCGTTTGAAATTATTTATGACCGTCGACTTACCACTATTGTTAAGGCCCACTACTAAAACGTTTACTTCTTTTTTCCTAAGACCTAAAAGATTTGTTAAACGGTCAAATAGCCCCATTCTCTATGCTCTCTTGACGGTTTGTTACGTGTTTATCGAATATCAATAATCAACACCATTAATGTTGACTGTTGGAAGGAAAGAGAAAGATGAATTGTAAAACGAAAGATGTGGTTATCCACTTTTCAACGTTACGTTTATTAATACAAACAGCATATTTCTTAGATTTTTGATATTAAAAAAAGCAACGTGCAAAAATATGACAATTTTTAGTATAAATATCAAACATTCCCACTTCGAGTACACAAATTCTACTTTCAAATTGATTTGAGAATCACTGAGAAACACATGGTTTCGTATTTTACGAAGGTGCTTTCGTAAGAATGTTGAGGAATTCGATCTGTAAATAGTTGGAAAAAGTGAATGCTGTTTTTTTATTAATTTAGCTGTGTATGCAAAATAAAGAGCAATAAAAATGGTAAGTTTCAAACGTTAGATATACGATGAGTTATAGAAATATTTGTATGTCAGGTTATTCTTTTATTATATATTTACTATCTTAAACTTTTAGCCGAAGGGAAAGACGAAGAAGTTCATTGATAAAAAGAATTCAGTGACATTTCATTTAGTTCATCGTTCACAAAGAGATCCACTGATAGCCGATGAAACGGCACCGCAACGCGTTCTTGTACCTGCTGGAGATGCACAAGCTGTTAAACTCGAGAAGAAAAAGCCAGATGATAAACAGAAAGAGGAACAGCGAAAATACGGCATATATTTCGACGATGATTATGACTATTTGCAACATCTTAAAGATGTTAATACTCTGACAGCTGAATGGGAACGTGTAGATAATATAACTCCTTCGAAACCAAATGATAAAAATCATACACCTAAAATTAATTTACCATCTTCTGTATTTGCTTCAAATGTAGAAGAGAAAGTTGGACTTTTGAATAAAGCAGCCCCAGTTTCAGGGTTGCAACTAGATTTGGATCCAGATATAGTTGCAGCTATGGATGAGGATTTTGATTATGATGATCCGGAAAATCATTTAGAAGACAATTTTATAGAATTGGCTAATACAAGCGAGGGTGATAGAGAAATAATAGAAGAAGAATATGGTAATATATGTGTTACACATTATGTTATCTTTATGAAACAACTGATTTACATTTGAAAAATGTAAATTGAACAAATTAGATCAAGCATCTGATGTTTCATCTGAGGGACATATGCAACTATCTGACGAAGGACAAGATGAGGTATGCAGCTTGAATGGGCCTCAGTTCACTTTTAAAGAAGAAGAAACAAAATCCCGTTTTACAGAATATTCAATGAGTAGCAGTGTAATGAAAAGGAACGAACAACTGACACTTCTTGATGATCGATTTGAGAAAGTAAATATTTATTATTGTCATGCACATTTTTATCGGATAAGAATATGCTGTTATGTCTACAGATGTATGCAGCATACGACGAAAATGAAATTGGTGCATTAGATTGTGATGAAATTGAAGGGTATATTCCACCAAACTCAGATTTAGTTCTTCAGTATGCAGCAGAATTTGAGAAGCAAAAAAATGAAGATGTAAGGTAACTGTAACTATATTTGTAATGAAAAGGATGAAGTATTATTTTCCTTTGATAGGCTGATAATGTTGCTGAATTGATGAAAGACAGAATGAAAATTTTGGAAAACGAGTATTCCAGTTCTGAAGATGAGAATAACTTGGAAGAACTTATTGTTGATGCAAGAAAAAAAGAAAAATGGGATTGTGAAAGTATCTTGAGTACATACAGTAATATTTATAATCATCCGAAATTAATTTCTGAACCAAAGGTACATTGTTTCAGATGCTAGAGCAATTTCATTTGTTCCTTCTCTTGTGCAAAATCGTAATTTACCCAACTATTTTTGTAACAGCCACAAAAGATCAGAGTGAATTCAAGGACTGGTATTCCAAAAAATGTGTTAGACGGATGTTCTGGAAAGTTGACTGCTAAAACATTGGCCCAGTTTGATCAACAGAATGAAAGTTGTAAACCAGCAAGGTCTCAGTCTGTTGCAGAAACAATGAAATCAACCTTAAGTGTATTAAGCATAAGACCCAAAGATGAAACTTCTGAAGAAAGAAAGCAAAGGAAAAAAGCTCTTAAAGGCTATAGAAAAGTAAAATAATCTCGTTAATCGTGTAGATGGATAACATGTCACAAGTCCATAACGTAATTATTGTCGTTTTCAGGAAAGGCGAATAGAACGAAAAGCAAATAGCGAAGCATTTAAGGAGGAGAAGAAGCGTCAAGAAAAGATTATATTAAATAATAGACAAAATGTTCAGGGAAATAAAATACTTTAACATGTAAATCACGTTGTATATCTCCTTTATAAATGAAATAATTTATAACGACTAATACTTGTTATTTTTTGTACTAAATATATTGTTTACAATCGACATAACTTAACATAATTTCCTAAATGACGATTATATTTATAAGATGATAATTATTAAATTGAGGGGAATAAATATAAGATGATCGAGATTATTTTGTAAGATTTGGTAAAAGATATTTTAGAAAATGCAATAAACGTTTCTTTTGACATATTTTTTTCCACGTATGTTTGCAGTATCCCGTTTCGTGTGATTGGTGCATTTGTTCACTCGCGAGCTACTGCCCACGTGAGAGTATATTGTGAAGCGCCATCGTTTAAGGCGGGGCAAACAACGGAAACTCCAAAGTCATATGATCGATTTGTAATTCCTTCAGAACACTCTCTGTTCGTTGCAAAGATGGCCAGCCAGTCGCACGGTATTCAACAGCTCTTGACAGCCGAAAAAAGGGCTGCAGAAAAAGTTTCGGACGCTAGAAAACGTGAGTTTCTATTTTAGCATTACGAATCACATTTTAACACGGATATGTTTGTAACATAACACTTGGTAATAAACGCTTCTGTGACCCTGAGTTTAAATGGGTGTAACCTTTTAAATGCATTGAAAACTGATATTTAGACTTTTGTGTATTAAGATTACGCATTTTATTAAGATACTTGTGTTATATTTGGCGAATGACATTGAAGAAAACTGTATAAGCATAAACACGATGTGTATATGTATATACGTATATAGATAGCATAAATCAGTTTTCCACGATAAAATTCAGCTAACCTTTATCGGTATACGAGGTAACTCGAAGAAACGGCATTTGAAGTTGTTGTACCTTTCGTAAAAACTAAGACAATCATTTCCATTTATTAGAAGGACCAAAGTGAAAACCCTAAATTTAATTTTGTTTCAAGGTAAGGCACGTAGATTGAAACAAGCAAAGGAGGAAGCTCAAGATGAAATTGAAAAGTACAGATTAGAACGAGAAAGGCAATTCCGTGAATTTGAAGCTAAGGTTAGTGTATTTGAATGCAAGAAGAAGCATTTTCCAATTTAGTTTGGCACGTTAGTAATATTTCTCTTCTTACGGTTGCTCCAGCATATGGGATCCAAAGAAGATGTAGCGGCACGTATAGAGGCGGATGCAAAAGTGAAAATAGAAGAAATGAACAAGGCTGTGTCTATGCACAAAGACACGGTAAGTTGAAAGTTGTAAAATGTGTAGAAAGTAACAGAGAATATTTTTTCAGCCTAAATGAATTTTGGTATTTGTGTTTTTTACAATATTATAGATCATGCTTAAAGTTTTGGACTTGGTGTGCGACATTAAACCGGAGCTGCACAAGAATTACCGCTTCGAAGTTTAAGTCACAAGAAGCGTATCGACTAATTATAAATAATATCGCATCTTACGCTATAAATGTACGTTAAGTACTTTCTTTTATCATATCTTGAAACGTATCTATTGTCGTTATGTTGTACTTTTACCGGAAAATGTGTATACCTTTTAATGATAGATGGTGGTATTGAAATTATTAGAACCCTTTCTGCAGTTGCTACACGACAATAAATGTAATCATACCTATGCTGAGCTTTTACCACCATGTTGGAAAGTTTAAGAATTATCGTAGTTGCAACACAATATTAGTTTAGATGTATTAAAGAAGTTATCGTCATTATGATATATCAAGGCCTAGATATATTAGGATGACGTGTAAATGTTAAAGCTTAGGGTGGTGGCAAAAAACATAGAAATTGTACATCGTTAAGTGTATATTGTTAGATGTCATTCCATAATTCTGCTACATCGAGGACACGAAATGCAGTTAAGAAAGATCTGTACAACCTCTAGAGAACTACGAATAAGCTCCCAATCCAACGTGGTTCTCGCGACGATGTACTCTCAGTATAAACTACCTGTTTTGTTTGAAACTTTTAAGGTTTGTTAAGTTATAGAAGAAAAAATGTTACACCTCATGTGTATACCCTGTCTCCGTAAGCTTGTTAATCTGTACAATATGAATGTTGGAAAATAAAAACAGCCACAATCTAATTAATTTATAATTTCACCATTTTCCAAATGGTTAGAAAAATGCAACGGTTCATTATCATTGTTTTTCCCCTGAGCAGTTGCGTAATCTACATACAGTTATTACGTAAAAGATTCCGTGGCTGTTTAATATCTGCAGTAGTATTTGGTTACATCGACCTCGTCGATCGTAATTCGTACGATATCGCATCGAAGAATGTTACAACGATATCGTCGCATAAAAATACGAGAGAAAAGTGTGCTTTGTCGAAAAATGAAAGTATAGGAGGAATAAATCAAGGAAAAATGGAGAAATTCTGCGTAATCGTCATAGCTTTCCCCTCCACGCTCCTAGTTTTCGAATTTGTCAGCAGTTTTGGGCAAACGTAGACGCGCGGTACGAATTAAACTTTCAGCTGGAACGTAATTGGCTATTTCCGTTTAGGTTTATCACAATTGGCTAGATCCATTCAGATGGAATATTGTAAAGATGGAGAGGGGAGGAATCAGCTGTGTAAACCTAACCTTCGTTCAGCGTTCCGATCGTGATCAGAAGCAGCAGTTGGTTGGGTTGCGCGAAATGCGTGTGCGATGTGCGTTCACAACACTAGCGCCACTCTATAGACACCGAAAGGTGATTCGATTTCGCGAACTAATCGTGGCAGCGCGGAGCGGTCAGTACGTGTGCCATTCTGCACTGAGAAATGGAAGTCGGCGAGACGCGTTCGAGTAATACGAGCGGGAACACGTTACCGATGGACGAACTCGTGTGTAAGCACGCAGTGACAGCTGTGTACGGGTACGCGTTTTAAATCTGTTATGATTAAGAAGGTACCGAACAAGACCGGTCGCCGACCAGCTGCGAATCCGGAGAAGAGATCGTTGTTGTAGATGCTCGTGCCGAAAGTTCTGTGAACGTGCGTTTCCGATTGTTACGCCTCTGCGAGAATCGTGTTGCCAGTTTTCTCAAGGGAAACGGTGCTGCGTGTACGAACCTCTTTGGATAAGACCTGACAAGATGTGGTGTCTCGTTAGTCAAGCCAATTCCGTCATCCTCGAAGTGCAAGTCGACCCTAAAGCCATTGGTCAGGAGTGTCTCGAAAAGGTGAGTCATTCTATTATTACACCTTTCTTATTGTTTATCGAACGAAACACCCACTGTCAGCGGCTGTAACAGATAACGCTTTCTCCCAATTTCCTCGATATTCTGTGACGTCAATTCAGTATCGTTTTTCTAACGACTCTTTTTGTACGAAAGTAAAAAATTAGAAGACTCGCCTGAATCGAAGGAGTTGTGCGAAAACGTTAACAGGATATATACTTTTTCTAGCGTCGTCGAAATCTGCGGGATAGTTTACATTTTTTATGTCGTTCGGTTTGTTTTCGAAAACACACGACGTAGAACAACGGGGAGAGGAGACTATCGAAGGTTGAGTTAGCGAAGCGAACAAGTTGGAGAGTGTCCCTTTGTCCGAATGCGTTTCCATTGTAAACAACGACGAAGCGAGCATTCGTCGCGTACCGTAGTATCTCGGATCGACTTGGCGAGAGATCGTGCGTTAAACTTTGGTTGGAAATATGCGTTCGAGGTGTAAATCTGACGTTTCTTCGGACGATTCGATAACCTGTGGCGATGGAGAGGATTGCGTCGAAGACTGTTGCAAGAGGTGTATTTGGAAAGGTGGAAACGTATAGCCGGACGGTGTGGATGCTGCCTTACGGCTAGGCCGTAACTCACGTGCGCAACAGATGCCCCGAAAACATTCGGCTACTTGCTGGTGCAATTTGAAATTTGAGAAGCGTATCGGCGCAAGGCCTCTATCTTGTTTACTACTTTTGTACATACCACGTTCATTTTCACGTTGTATTCGTCGAATCAGCCATTTACATTCGTTTACTTTTATATTTATTTGTGTGCGGGGGTGTGTGCGGACCGGTGTCGAGTTTTCCTCGGTGAGAAAGTGGCGATGTCTCGACAACGCGTCTGAAATTGATGGAGAGGGAGGATGAGCGATGAAGGGATATCGCGACGATATCGAGGTGATTGTATATTTCATTTATTCCCGACCTAGGGTGACCTCGCGAGAACCTCGGTGGTCGTTACACGTATATATACCAACGTCTCCGTTCTTCTTCAGGGTTTAACTCTATTTATAGAAGCGAGACGCATCGGTTGCGTGTAACGTAGCAGTTGCACGTATGCATCAGGATGAACGCTACGCGAACCAACCAGCTTTCCTCCCCTTCTTATCTCTTCTTTCTTTCTGTTTCTATCACACATACGTATATACAAAGAGTCTTATCGTTGGTATTGAAAATAAACCGTGCCCGGTTTCTGGCAAAATTGTTTATCTCGTGTGACACGCTGCTTATCGTCGCCACTGCTTCGTTCGTTCGTTCGTTCGTTCGTTCGTTCGAATTGCGAAGCTTGTAATTTGAAAAGAATATAACGACGGTTGTTTTATTTAACGAAACGTAGTTTGAAAGGCGACGAGGGTGGAAGCCAAGCAAGCTGCTGTCCCATGCAAACGAGATCCTTAGATAGAGGTATAGTCTTCCAGTGGCATGTTTACCTCCAATATCAATCCGTGCAGAGCACTCGACGATGATTACGGTGCAACCAAGTGGGTCAAAGCCTAACTGGGTCGCAATTTCACTCAGCACCGTATTATTACTTAGGCGCTTGACGTAGACCCATCGACAAAATTCTCGTCTGCTTGGAAAAAAATAAACGTTCTTTTCAGTCGGTACATCTATAGACGAAAGGGACGGGTTGCAAGTTTGTCGTCGTCGTCTTGGGTGCAACTTTCGTTGAATTTTCAGCGTAGAAAGTAATTTACTCGAAGAAGATGCGAGGGGAATGTACGCACGACTAGTCGCGGAAAACTTGCTCAATTTTCCCCTTCCCCCAAGAGATCTCCGTGAAATTCGATTCGAACGAAATGAATCGTTTCACCGGCACACCGTACTTTGGACAATTACTCGCGCTCGTAACACGTTAGTTTTTCTACCAGAAAACGGTAAATAATGGAATGTTCATTTAGGCAGGTTCGCCTTTACTGCGGATACTCTACCGTGTCTGTACTCCGTGTACAAGTTAAGTCCTTGGTTTTGCCGTTCTCGTCTAATTTGCGTTGGCTTGCCGGCGAAATCGGTCAACTGGTGTACGGAAATTGTTGCGAGCGTACGTAAGCTTGATTTTCTATCGGATTGGTCCAAGGTCGAGAACGCGACGGAGAATTTTCAAGATTAAGCGTGAAAATATTTACACCGATATTTCGCAGGAAGAAACGTCGCGAAATTACCGAACACCGGTTTTGTCACCTCGTGCATTATGTATGCGCGAGACAGAAGAAGGAAGAAACTAGAACGACGACGATCGGTTTTTTTTACGCTTGATTGTTTTTAGCTTGAGGCACGGGGTTCCGAAGTAGGGATACGTGAGTAATTGCATGTTTTCCACGTGTCCTCGAATGGAAAATTTCGATGGAAATAGAGAGGAGAGAAAGGAGTTTAATTACACGGTAGGTGTAAGTACCAGCGAGATTCGATATTCTTTCAGGCTTGCGGGAATGTTGGTTTAACTCGAACCATTGGGAAATTTCACGCGGTACGGTGGGAAAAGACTCCGCGCCGATCCAGTACGGTCCTCGCAAGAATCTCATTTGGCCATCTAATTGCCTTCGAAATCATTCGATATCCACCGTTCTTCCACCTTTCCCAATTCCCGTCAGTTCTCTTCAGCGGCTTAGAGTTTTGATTAATCGATAGCAACTGAATTAGGACTTGCCTTTTCGGCGGTGCTCGGCGAGTAGAACGCGAAAGAAGGGAATATGTTGGAAGAAGTAAGACGGAGGGTAGGAGACAGACGTGTATAAAGTATTGAATAAAGTACCTTGTTGAAGTTACGTCCCTCGGTGGGAGCTCGTTCATCACTAGCTGACGCTCCTAAATGTTTCCTTTGTGGGTTTTCAAAGTTTTAGTACCCATGCCCCAGAAGGGCATTTCATCGGCTGTTTTATAGCGGCACCGGCCCCCTGTGGGATTTGTCCCTTTTATCATCCCGACCACCTCATCGTTACCTACTCCGTCCGTTTGTCCCCGAGAGATGCTGGAAAACATATGCTCTCGAATCGTAGCTCGAACTGTTCTTCGCCAAATCCCGTGCAGTTTTCTATTCTTCACGCGTCTACCTCTCACAGGCCGAAACGTAGCCGATCTTCTTTGCTTAGCGAGACGTAGTATGTAGTAAACGTTAGAAAGTTGTTGATCGAGGGATGGTAGCGCAGATTCGTTTTATCGCGCGTACATTCTTTCACGTGACTGGGAATTTTTTTGTCTGCAAGGGTTAAGTAGATCTACGAGCTGTCCTTTCTCGTGTAACCTGAAGGGAAAAGAGTAGAGCGGCCAATAAAGCCTCTTTGCAACCACTCCGGCGCATTCAACGGCCGTTGAATAAGGCAATATCCCGAGGCTTTATCGTGCCCGTTTTGCACGAACAAGGGCCTGTTATTACATCGGGAAATTGCTGGACCCGCGCTTTCCCCTCCCTTAGCTTTGCCAAACTTGACAAAGTCCATTTTCGCTTCCTTCGCCTCCCTTTATCAATTGCGATCGGTAGACGACGGTCTGTCGTTACTACGATGCTTGTCTTCTCACGAGTGCCGTATCTAAATTGAACGGGGATGGGCACAGTCGATCTCGCATGAAATATCGAGAATATTCGGGAACACGGAATGGATGTAGACCCGCATAGGTAGGTATTTACCGTTGCAGTGATTCGAGGTATACGTTCGTAGGATGTCGAGAAGCGATTGAATTCCTGGTATCGATGCGACAAAACGCAGATTGGATGCGTTCGAATTTCTCTGGTCGCGTCGGCGAGAATTCCTGGTAGCAACAGCGGCTCTTCTATCGTTATCGCGTGGCGATAATAAATAAACTTGCTTGTTGTTTTGAAAATTGAACGAAACGTCGTGCGAAATAACAACGAAGATGTAGAAAATCGACGGAGAGCAGAAGTTTCCTCGGTTTTCTTCGTGCACGTCCGAGTACGTTAACCCGGTTAAATGAAATTCTCTTGGTCGACCAAGTTGTAACGCATGTTCATTTGGCTATTAGGATCCTTGTCGACCGACGCGGAAATTGGATGAAATACGTTAAATAGGAAGACACGTGACAACCGGAAATGAAAGGATGCGTAGTAATCTGGAGACTCGAGCAACCGTTTATTTGCCGATTTTTTAGCCTTAGCTATTTCCCCTGCGATATTGGATTGGGATCGCGATAAGCCAAGTCGGGTTAAAATTAGTAATTTCGGGTAGGAAAAATAGGAGAGGTGGTCTGGCGCTCTTCTTCCGATTCGTAAAGCGTTACGGTTGTAATTTACAGTCTACAATTATGCGGCGTTATCCCTGCTTTAAATCCCTGCTTTACGTATAGCAGGGTTGGTGTCGGTTTCCTCCGTCCTTTCCCTTGCCCGGTAGATCTCTTGCGTTTAAATCCCTGCATTACGTATAGCAGGGTTGGTGTCGGTTTCCTCCGTCCTTTCCCTTGCCCGGTAGATCTCTTGCGCATTTTTCTGCTGATTTAAAGGTTGCATTTAAAACGCTTCATTACACCGCCAGACTATGCGTGGAGGCTCGCGGAACGTTGCCGTGGATTATGCATCTCTCATTTGCTCCGGGATATTGTAGCGATTTGAAACAGCCATCTCGCGTTACCTGCGTGTACGCTCCTCCTTTCAGATCCACCCCTCTTTCGTCTAGTACCGTTTCCCCTTTCTCCGCAATACGTCCACGACCCTCCACGCATTTTTCGGCACGTCGAATAGCCTCGTCCCTCTCTCTTTTTACCCATTTTCGCTTTACCAGCGAAAGTTACGTGTATCCTTAATCCTATGCTTCCGTGGTATCGGAATATACATATAAAGGTTGATCGAACCTCTTGGATGGATCGCCGAGATATGCTCGAACCATTGTTACGGTTACCAGAAGCGGGATTATGATCATTTTTTTTCTGGAGGTCGTGAGTTGTGCGGTTCGCATTTGAAACTCTAATACGCTCGGCGTGGATGTAGGCAGTGCTAGAAAAGGTCAACTAGTT